TTTGTGTTAATGAGTTAAATAGAAAAGACCGTATCAGTCAGAGTAGGGGCTGGTTCTCTAATTTTATAATTTATAGTATCCTACACTTTTTTCAGGCCTTATATATGACTTTCTGGTGGGTTTGGTTTTTTTGGACATGGCAGATTTGCTGAAAGAAGTGCACTTGGAAAACTGGTTTATAATGTAGGGTAGAGAGAACATACCTGGTAGTGTCATCATATCCCTTTTGGAAGCTGTCCTGAGAATGAACTATGACCAGGATGATACCTGGAGCTAGGTCTAAGGTGAGAAAGAAGTTAATCAGTAAGAACAACCAAGATTCCAGTTTTCATTCACTTGTCCAATTTTATTTGGCAGTGTAGACATACCTAGTGAGGTTATGTCTGAGTTTCCTTGTCTTTGGCGTGGGAATCAAAGGTGAGAAAGGTGTGATCACGGTAAAGATGGTCTATATGGGATCAGCCACTGACCCAGCTTTCTTGCCATGCCATTTTTCCAAGAACATATGGAAATTCATATGTTTCAGAGAGTCTTCATAGTCATGCTCCTTAGATGTAAGGTTTAGGGTTATGTTTACAGTACAAACTTCAGTGTAATAGAAAGAGAACTGATTTTGTGTTAAATGGATTATTTCAGGTTCTCACAGCCTTGCCGCAGCAAAGGATATACCTCTGCAAAATATCATACTAGAAAAGAATACAATTAGCAGTGAGTTTTGGCAGAACTTTATGTTTACTGGATTGCTTTGAGCTGCAAGACAATGTTTGGGCCAGTTCTTCATTTACCTTTTCCTACAACATTCCTCTTTCAACAAATCATAGTCAATCACAGACAGAATTTTACCAAGATATCTAGAGATTATCTTTCCAGATAGTGTTGTCATAGCTACTTTTTCAGCCAAAGGGCTAAAGTAACTCTTGTCACAGTTTTCTTTTAAGGAAGAGAATGTGATGGTAGGACTGAAAAACTGAATTGGGATAGACCCGTCATTCAAATACAGGATCTCCCCTTTGTTCTCCCTCTGCATGCACACAAAAATCCATATTTTCCTCTTGAACCCATCCTTCATGCCCTTGTCCCTCATCGCCTGTCCTCCAGGTTTTCAAAATCTTCCCACCTGTTTCTCATAACATAGTATTTATACTTATTCCTTCCAGTGTGTGAACTCTTCATGGTGAAGCATGGCAGAATAAGCCATTGCTTTATTGTTTCTTTGTGTGGATACAATATACTTGATATATATCCTCTGAAATGTATGTCAGTAGATTTATGGGAAAATTAATAAAACAGAAATTAAAAGTGACAGCTTTGAAGTGATATGCTACCCTTAGCATATGGGCTACCTCACACGAACACTTTACAGGATTTGTATCAGGATTATGGGCAGTAACTCAATGGGGGATAACTTCTGAACTACATTCCTAAATCTCATTTGGCAGGTTTTGGATGCTGTATAATTCTTACGGTATTATTATGTCACACCAGTGATGCTACAGTCATCATTAAGATAGTCCCTTTATTCTTAGTGCTAATTTCTTATAATTGCTCTTGCAGTGAAAGTTTGTGTGTTTTTTCCAAGCAGACAAATGAGCTTCCTTTAAAAAAGTAACTGCTTCTTTCTCCATCAAGACATGATTTGAAGATCCAGTTTCGTCAAAAAAAGGCAGCTGTATCAGGAGAGAAACAACAGCAACAATCCTTTATGTTCTGAGCTTTTAAATATACACTAATGATTTGCAATATCAGCTTTGGCACTGTTAAAAAAAATAAGTTAGGAAGTAAAGATGTGTAAACAACATTATTTTTATGAGGATACTATACTTATTTCTTCCAGTATTGGTATACATCAAGGATCTTGCATCTTTAGGGATGTGAGTGAAAGATTAGGACAGGCTTATTTACATAAGACAGAGAGCAGAATCCTTCTGACACATCCTAATCCAAGACCAGTGGATAAGTAGTTTTTCTTGGAATATGGAAATAATAGTAACTTAAAACTTGGAATATTTGTCTTCTGGTTAGCCTGGTTGGTATTTCCTGCAGTCAGTTTGCAATCACTGCAATTTACTGTTCCCCTCTTAGAAGTAACAGAAGCACTGAGAAGTGGAATGAATGTCAAAGTTCTTCAGCCAAAGCAGCCACAACCTGAAGAAAAAGCAGCATATAACTTGAAGTGAAAAAAGATTGCTTACTGTGGATCAAAGAAAGTCTTCTTTTCTGCATAGCTGTAATGGCATTTGCTGGCTTAACCAGCATATATATTAGTTTTTTATTATTTATATTATCTCTGATTATTTTTATACAATCTTTCTGAACAAATCAGGTATTGCCACTGGTCTGGTGTCAGGAGAGTATGACATATAGGAGCACTTTTCTGATAGGAACCTTAATTTTTATTTGCTTCTGCTCATTCTGTAAAACGCACCATGTATGTTTGACAGTTACTTGAGCCCCATGCTTGTGCTCTAGATAGGTTGGAAATAGATTTGCAGGGTATATGTAAGTTGGGCTTTATACTGCTTGGGATACCTTTGTTCCAGAGTGTGCATTTCTGTCATTGTTAAAATATCCTACAAACATGTTTTTGCTTCCTTTGGAGACAGATTATTACTTTCAAAGACTAGTAATAACTGCTTTCAATCTCTATGCTTTTATGATCATAAAATGGAACTGGTTCTTCATTCCAGATGCAAAAATTTTATTGTTAGTAAATATAATTTATAGCTGATTTCAGTAAACATGAATTTATTTATGTTGGTGAAATTCCAGACATTGTGCTGCATTACAGTCCAAATGGATTATGAAGCTCAAACAGAAGGACTGGATGAGAGTGAGGGAGAAGGAAAAGCAAATTTCCCTTGGTCACATGCAGTAGCCGGAGAACCAGTTCATGGAAGCTACATCTAAACTGTGCAAGTGTCTCTGCCAAGAAGAGACTATGAGGTTCTGCACAACAATGAATACTCTAGCTCTTTGTGTATTCTTACTTTTTGTTCAGAGACATTGGAATATGGAGTGTCAGTGAATTTTAGCTGCCTACATTGTAGTCTACACTAGTCCTGTAGGAATTCCTGTTGCACGTGTGCACTATATGCACATGCATATAATATATTTTATCTTCTAGCCCTGTTTTATTTTGTTATGGAAGTATTTTTGAACATATGTGAAAAAAAGCATGTCTTCAAATATATGTCTCATCACAAAATAGTAGAAGTGGCATGGAAGGGGTTAATGGAATGATGAGGCAAAAACCTGCAGTGCCAGCAGAATTCCCTAAAGGGTAAACAAAACTCTTAACTGTTGCAAACAATAAATTGTCAATACCTTGTAGAAACAGTGGATAATGAAAAGTTATAATGCCTATAGTTAGTACCCTCTTTAAAAGAATTTACACAGGATATGAAATTAAATTCTATGCACAGTTCTCTTAATTTGCCCTTAATTAAACAATACTCCATAAATGGTGCATTCAGTGACCAAATGTTCAGAGACAGCAAAATGGTGGGTCCCAAGCCATTAGGAATGAAATAAAGTCAGTCCCCTGAGAGCCTGCTAGAATCTGGTCTATCTAAGTGACAACTGATGGTTTAGGAAAGATAATTAACTTTGCAATTACAAACCGCAGCTTTCACCAATGCTGTTTCTTTCAGTATTCTCTTCTAAATGTTTTACTATTTTTACAGTGAGATAACATGCTTTTTAAAAATGCTGACTTCATATGGATCCATTTTTCCTACACAAATATAATTTGAGTATTTTATTTTAAATATTTCAGATGAATAATTATATGCACAGTTATTTTATAAATTACAGAAGATAAATGTTATATTTTCTGTTTTCAAGACTTCTGTCTTCACTTAAGAGATAAAAGAGCCATGCTGCATCAAACAAATTTCATATTTTCCCCTTGGTAGCAAATCTTGGACCTAGCAAACCTAAATTAAGTTTGTTCTTTAGCCATGTAGATTGACATTCTCTTTAGCACAGGGAGCATCAATTCTAACCTGCTAATGTGCCTTCATATTGATAAAAGAATACCTACATTGAACAGGAATTGCTAGTTGAATCTGTGTGCCTGTACTTTTGATTATCTTTACCATAATGTCTCCTAGCACATGAATTAGTGTATTTTCATGCTGGCATACATGTCATGAAATCTTCAAATATGCAATATGCCCATACTTATATGTACAAGCATTGGTATTTTCATATGATGTATTAGGGGATTATGAAAAGCTTAGCTTGGAGGGTATAATATTATGTTTGACTGTAGTGTTTTGTTGAGACTGTGGATATCCGTGTATTGAACAGAATTCCAGGTAGGTATTGATACAGGTAAGGAAGAAGGCAGAATCAGGACCCAAAATTCATGAGAAATCTGTGTGACTTTGTCTGCCTTACTCTTATATACTGTAGTAGGCTGAACAGCACTAGCACTGGCTTCAGAAAATCCCAGCTTTAGCTGACCAAGCTAATTTGTCATGCTATAAAGGACCAGTTCAAACTGGCAGTGTCAAATAAAAACAAAGGGAAGGAGGAGGGCAAACAAAAGAGACTTCAGGGCCCTAGGATGATTTGTAGAGGGATCAGCAGCACAGGTAGTAATTTCCTTGATCCTTCTGGTAACAAGGAATAATACTGATAAGGATAGGCATTGATCCATCAGATTAATGATTGGCTCCGAGGATGGTGTAATTGGGAAAAAAATTGGGTTTTTTGACCATAGGATGATCTACTCAACACCTGGTCTGCTAACATCTGATGGGGTGTACCTACTTCAAAGGGGAAAAGGAGTTTTAGTGCAGGAGCCAGCAGGGCTTGTTGACAGAGCTTTAAACTAGCTTGGAAGGGGGAAGAGGACAAAACCAAGCTCACCAGTGATGAGCAAGGGGATCATGTTCCAAAACTTGAAGAAACCAGCACTAACGAGATCCCTCAATCTGCCTCATGAGTGGTTGGCTACAGTGTATCACACCTGATCCATCATTACTGGTCACTTTTCAAATATCACCTCCTAAGGGCACAGGAGGAGCAATTCCCAAATGTCGGAAGTCAAGCAGGTGAGGAAGAAGACTGGCTTGGCTGAACAAGGATCTTCTCCTGGAAAAAAGGCAAAAGAAGGAAGATGTATGCCCAGTGGAAGCAAGGTCAGGTGACATGGGAAGAATTCAGAGATGCTGCTTGCCGCAGTAGGGAGAAAGTTCATGCAACCCAAGCTCAGATGGAGTTGAAGCTGCCAGAAATGTGGGGAACAATAGAAAGAGTTTTTTCCAATACTTTAATGGCAATAGGAGAATAGAAATGTTATCAGCCTGTTACAGGACGAGGATGGTCACCTCACAAACAGGAACAGACACAAGGCAGAGGTGTTTAATGCTTTCTTTTCCTCTGTCTTCAACACAGATGAGGGACAAAGGGGGTCTCAGTGCCCTGAGCTGAATGACCATGACTGTGAGAATGATCTACTCCCAGTCGACCCTCAATTTGTGTGGGATCTGCTGCTCCAGCTGGATCCCTACAAATCCATCGGGCCCAGTGGATTCATCCCAGAATCCTCAAAGAACTGGCTGATGCAATCACAAAACCTTTCTCAATGATTTTTGAGCAGTCTTGGGAATCTGGAAAGGACCCAGCTGACTGGAAGCTGGCAAACATTGTCCTAATTTTCAAGAAGGGCAAGAAGGAGAATCCTGGAAACTGCAGGCCTGTCAGTCTCACTTCAGTGCCTGGTAAAGTTATGGAGAAGATTATTCTGGGAGGTATTGAAAAATATCTGAAAGATAACACAGTTATTGATCACAGCCAGCATGGGTTCATGAGAGGAAAGTTCTACTTATCACACCCAATTTCCTTTTAGGGCAAGGTAATCACCTTAGTTGATCAGGGGAAGTCAGCTTATGTAATCTTTTTGGATTTCAGTAAAGCTTTTGATACTGTCTCTCACAAGATCCTTCTGGACAAACTGTCCAGCACAACGCTGGATAAACACATCACACAGTGGGTGAGTAATTGGCTCACAAGTCAAGTACAGAGTGTAATAGTGAATGCAGTAACATCGGACTGGCAACCTGCGACTAGTGGGGTTCCACAGGGCTCCATCTTAAGCCCTGTGCTCTTCAACATTTTCATAAATTGCTGGGATGTGGGACTGGAAGGGATATTAAGCAAGTTTGCAGATGACACTGAGAGGAGCCGTTGATGCCCTTGAAGGCAGGGAGGACCTGCAGAGAGACCTCGATGAATTAGAGGACTGGGCGATCACCAACCATATGAAGTTCAACAAGGAGAAGCACTGGATTCTTCACCTGGGATGGAGCAACCCCGAATGTATGTACAGACTGGGAATGAGATGCTGGAAAGCAGTGCCGTGGAAAGGGACCTGAGGTCCTGATCAGTGGCAAGTCGAATATGCGTCAGCAGTGCCCTGGCAGCCAGGAGGGCCAACCATGTCCTGGGGGGCGTCAGGCAAAACATCTCCAGTTGGTCAAGGGAAGGGATTGTCCTGCTCTGCTCTGCAGTGGGGCAGCCTTACCTCGAATATTGCGGGCAGTTTGGGGCACTGCAATATAAAAAAGATGTGCACCTATTAGAGAATGCCCAAGGGAAGGCAATGAAGACATAGAAGGGCCTTGAGGGGAAGCCATATGAGAAGCGGCTGAGGTGTGTTCAGCCTGGAGAAGAGAAGATTGAGGGGAGATACCATTGCAATTACAACTTCCTCATGAGGGGAAGAGGGGGGCAGGCACTGATCTCTTCTCTGTGGGGACCAGTGACAGAACCTGAGGGAATGGCCTGAAGTTGTGTCAGGGGAGGTTTAGATTGGATATTAGAAAAAGGTTCTTTGCCCAGAGGGTGGTTGAGCACTGATATAGGCTCCCCAGGGAAGTGGTCACAGCACCAAACCAGACAGAGTTCAAGAAGCATTTGAATGATACTCTTCTGGCATGTGGTGTGACTCCTGGGGATAGTCATGTGCAGGGTTAAGGGTTGGACTTGATGAACCTTATGCATCCCTTTCAACTCAGCATATTCTGTGATTCTGTGATACACTGATTTAGTAGCTGAAAGTAGAATTTAAACCCTGCCTGAAGTGTAGCAGTTTCCTTATCATCAGCTACAGACTGCTGCTGATGCCTGATGGCAGACTCTGCTGTAAGCAGCATAGGTCCTGGCCCTATTTACTGGGATGTCCCATGGAAGTCTTCTCCTCCAATCAACTGATCATTTTGCCCATGTTCAGGGGAAGCTGATTTATCTCTCTATACCACCATGGTAAGTGATAAGGACATTTTTCTCACACCCTTGGAGTTTGAATCAGAACCATCAGAAACCTTCTTGTTTGTACACACGTAAAATTGAGGATGAAACACTCTCAAATCTCAGTCACAGACTCTGAGTGCTCTGTAAGAACAAATTATTTAAAATAATTTATATATTTCTGTTAATGGTGCATTTTTGGGAATTGTACTGTATAACTCCAATTGCATTGGTCACATCTGTACAACTTTACATTTGTCATATAAGTACAGTTAACCTTAGAAAAGCCAGGAAAATACTGTGAAAATAGCTTGGTATTTAAATTGCCCTAGTTTTACTGACAGTTTTAGACTTTAGTGATGGGCACTGTATACTGATATGTAAATTTGTAGATTGTCAGGGAAAGCATTGTTATTACTGATAACTCGTATATATTTTGTTTCCCTAACTAATCTTTCTTCATGAATATGCTTAAAATATTCAGCTGTCTTGTATGTCCTTTTGTCCAACTTTGCCACTTGTGAAGTGATACACACATATGCTTCATCACAGTTAATAGTTCAAGCTTATCAGAGGGCTTAGGTTTTTAAAGTTGTCTGAAAACATGTATGAAAGGAATCAATGCCTTCAAAATCCCTGGTATTGCCCTCAGTAATTCTCATATGGGCTTCTGGATGCTGTATTGATGCTTGCATTTAACATATCTTTCCACTGGAATGTGATGTAATTCTCTGCTAGTGAGGGATTTAAAATTCTTGTTGCTGAGCATTGCACAAACTGCAGTACTATTTCCCTGTCCTTCAGTGCTGTTACCTCTGAAGACAATACACAGAATTAAGAGAAGGACTATTGTAATACAGGAATCAGTAAAAACTCTCTATTTGAAAGTACCATAATGTTTGTGCTTTTAAAAATTAATTATTCTTATAAAATGCATATAATTATTGCCAAACTTTGTCTGTTATTTTATATTTAGAAACAACTTAAGAAATTACATGATCTAAATTCATCCCAGGTTAATAAAAAATGGAAAAATTGAGAGATATATGGGAAAATACTGTTTATATATCTGCATTCCTATAAATAAAAAGAGGGAAAATGACACTTCTTTTTAAAAGAGTTAACTTTATTTCTTGTCCATTCTTTTTGTGCATTTTCCCAAGATTTTCTAATATATTTTAGTAGTTTTAATTCTAGATCTTAGTTTGGACTGATGCTCCATATGGATTAAAAAACAGATAGTAAGAGATGGATTCACGTTTTCAAAATCATCAAGTGATTTGAAAGAAAAGTGCTTCACAGTGTTAAATTCCAACAATTTGATTTGGCTGTTATTGTGGAACCCTGGTATTCAACACTGAATTTCTTCAGAGAGGAAAACTTTATCTCCACCCTCTTTTATGATGTGTGATCCAAAATGCCAATCACTGGGAATGGAATACAATTATATTCACTAATATGTCTAAAATAGAAACTCTTGCTGTCAATATATACTCATTAGTACTGAGTTGCAAATGAATTCTGGAATTGTGCTCTTATTAATTAGGTGGCAGACTAGAAAACTTCCTTGCTTCTGTTTAGCCAGATGGAGGGACAGTGGGTGTAATGACCTATGTTGGGCCTTTCCCAGGGGATTTCTTTGGTGTTTCTTGGTGTCAGTATGGGTCCATCTTCCATTTACCATTTAAAATAAACAGCCCCAAACTTGCACAAGTGTACACACTTCAATTACATTCAGAAAAAAGACATGGTAATTTTGTTTAGTTTTAAAATTAGTCGTGCAATCACATTCTTAAAATTCCAGAGGGACTTCAGCACACACAGATGCAAGGTGAAATAGGGGTTTTTTTTAGGAAAATGTAAGTCAGGCAGCTTTTTTTTCCCCTGTTACATTATCGTATATAGTCTGCTGTATAGTCCATCAGCATGGAGAGGTTTGGTTTTACAGCTCACTCTCATTCTGGTCTTTTACTATTTTTTTACTGTATGAGTTGCTTAGAATTCTAAGAGGCTTCAGTGATTCAAAAATGGACTTCTGGGGGAGGGGAGGAGCAGGGGAAGTTGGTGATCAGCCCACATGAAAAGTCCCTAATTCTTTAATTGACCCAGTATATTCTAAAGAGTCATCAAGTTACTTAAATGTGTATCTTCATTAAAGAGTATGAGTAATACCATGAACTGAATGTAATTACTCATGGGCTTTAAGTTTTGCATGAATCAACTATCATCCGGCATAGTACCCTACATGAGGAAATATTTGTTAAGATTTGCAGAAGATACTTCAGCTTTGTCAGCATAAAGGTAATTCTTTGAAAGCTCATAATTCATTTTAAATGTATAAGAAACAGAAAACAGCCCCTTCAGAATAATATGTAACATCACGTTGTGGTTTTTCATGGGTACAGTTCTGTATTCGAAATTAAGTTTTTAAATCTATGGCACTTGAGTTAATTGAATAAAGACATTTTCTATTGACCTTACGGATGACAAATTTTCCACAAATAACTTTATTCAACATGAGCTCCCAACTGGTGTTTGTTCTGCCAAGTAAAAGCTAATATCAAAAGAATCAGGTGAGCACCCTCCTTTCTCACTGTGCTTCTCTTCATCTCCCACTGTGCTATTTACTGTACAGACAAACACTGACAAGTGTTATTACTTATGTGGATCTGACAAACTTCCATTTAAATGTGCAAGAATGTGCAATTTTTGCTCTCTACAGAAGCAAAATTGTTTGCAAAGAAAGCTGGTGAAGGATTTCAGAGGAAAAAAAAGGCTTAGTTTTGAATTGAACAAATTGAGA